CGAAATGTTAGGATTTCTCGATTCTCTGTCGTTTAACCTCAATATTCAACGTGAAAAATCTTCTAGATAGATGCAGTTACGAACGAAAAAATATTTTTCAGGGTTTTTATACAGTGTCAAGTTCGAAGAGTTTTGATAATTTTCTAGAGAAGAGTATCTTCACGGTGTAAAATCATCTCTGAGGAAACGAACACGAGGCTGTGAGAGTAGAGGTTCCTCTCAACGATTCAAAGTTAATTCGTTTCATGATTTGTCCCTCGCGAAGTTTAAATGATTTCTCGTCGTTATTGGCTTTACTTCAGCACTTCAGGGCAAATCACAACGAATCCAGCAGTTCCCTCGAAAACAATTGAAAGTCTTTCTTCAAAATTCTCTTATAGCTCGGCCGGTTATCTAGAAATTCCAGCGACGTTCTCCGTCACCGTTAAACGATCGAAATCTCGCGAGATTTAACGAGGAGGAGAAGGGTTGGTTCAGGAAGCTGTAAAGTCGCGAGCTAAAAGCTCTCCTCAAAGGCAAGAAGAAGGTCATTCTCGTCAGACCTCGTTGACTCGTTATTCTCGGGGAAACGACCATGACGACGAGCAAAACCACGACGACGACGACGACGACGACGACGACGAGCGATGCGCGGCAAAGTGGGCAATATGAACGTCGAGAGGACGGAAACGATGACGTTTAAGTAGCGTGTCTAGCGTATTGCGTGCTCGCAAGAAAACGCGAGGAGGATATCTCGCGGGCCTTAACACGATTACGTTAATGCTTCGAGAGAGATTCAATTTTCCCTGCTCGTTAGCTAAAAAAGGAAAACGCGTCGTGGCGTCTAAATATATCCGGCATTCGAGGAAATCGCGGCATTTTCGAAAAATTCACCGGTACTTCGAGTTGGAAGTATTACCCGGTGAATTTGCGTTTCTTGGCTCCGTGTCTGTGTGACGAACTATCGTCGTAATGATAAACTAAAAGACATAAAAAAAAAAAAGGGTGACAAGGTGGTCTTTTCTCAGAATTTTCGAACGTCTAGTTTAATTCAATTTCTATCAGAACGTATGACTCTCTAGATCGAAAAAAGCGAGAAGAAGAAATTTTTAATTCAATTTCAAGATCTGTCTGTCTCTCTACATATAGA